AATTGAGAACTTATTAACCACATGGTAATTATGAAAACTTGAATTGGAAATTGAGAGTCTGAACCAGAAAACAGTAGTCAAGATAATGATTCCAACAATGATATCAAAACAGATATGAATGACAATATAACAACTGAATTGAAAGATGCTGAATAGGATTAACTATAAAAACAGTATTTTAAATGTAGCTGTAATCCATACGTAGTCTACAAATGGTTTTAGCAGTTCCAAAAATGTACAGGTAAAATATTTCAATTTTTATCCACTTGTCTCCTTGCAAGTATATGTAAATTTTAAAAATAATCCCCATGGTTTAACTGAGGAAATACAATATTTATGTTTTCAAAAACATTTTAATCTAGTAAGTAACACTGATTTATTAATTAAACAAAAATTGCTACATGAGAATGATATTGTTGCTACAAGAGCCAATAAATCAGAGTTGTTTTGTTGTTAAGATCTACTTACAGGGAAGCAATCCTTAACAACTTATATCAAACTGAATATGTAACTGTTCCACAGGATTACTTAAGAAAACTTCATTTTAGAGTCCAATGTTTTATGAATACTTCACTATCAGGCCTTTTACATGAGGAATGCTAACAGTTACAGTTCCTGCTACTCCTAGCATATTTGCCTTTGCAAAGATTGATAAGGAAGGTTACCAGCTTTGTCCAGTTGTGGATAAATTGGCATTGACTAAAATATACATCAAAAAGTTCCTTAATCATTTCATTATTAAACAACACCTCCAGCAGTCTATATTTGTTGTTACTGAGCTTGATGCTTTAATTAGAAGACTATAAAATCATTTGTCATCACAAGCACACTTTACTGTGTGACTATCAATCATTGTTTCTATCTATGAGAAGTGAACCTATTTTTGTAAATTAAATGATTGATCTAACTTTCCAACATTGAACAGTTACACAAATACCATTCTTCTATTTTGGTGCTATCATATGTCATTTGTCACCCCTCCTTTTTCTATTTCAAAGACGCCACTTATCTACAATCAAGGGCCTACTGATAATTGATTATTTAATTCAGTTTGATGAAAAATATTACACACAAATAGAAGGAATACCAATGGAAATATGTATTGGCCTGAGAATAGCTGAAATTTTCATGATACCAATAGTTGAAAAAATAAGAAATATAAAAAAAAATTCACTTTTGTAATAGGTATATAGATTACTATAATAATTTTTGACAAAACAGAGACAAGTGAGGAATTAATATTGGAAAAAGCAAATCAAAGAAAATATACAGTTTGAAACAGAAACACAAAATAGTATCATATCATCTAAAAATGTATACTAAGAAAAGAAGATAAACTAGAGTATAAAAAACATGTTAAGCCTATGAAGTGCCAAAAGTATTCAATTATAAATCAAACATATAAAAATTTATATTTTTGTTTACATTTAAAATGTATACAGATAAAATTAAAAGGAGAACGAATAAAATAAAAAAAAACAACAAATAGAAATTCAAGAAATTGTAAAAATATTTTTAACAATTATCCTAAAAAATTACTAGATAAATAAGATATTTAGTAATGAAACTAGAAATAAACAATTTGATAATGAAAAAAATTTGTGAAATTATATTCCCAAACTGTCCGAGAGTTAAAAAATTATTAAATACTAAAAATAGATCTAATACCCAAAAAAAATGATTTACTGAAAAAATATTTATATTGTAGTAGTAAAAAAAAATTGAAAAAAATAGAAGAAAAAGCAGTGGTATTATATTTTTTCAATGTAGTTACGAACAAAAGAAAACGTACCTAGGTCAGACAAAAAGAAAACTTAAAATACGTATTAAGGAACATATTAGAGCAATTAAAGGAAATTATGCAAATTCAGCAGTTGCAGAGAATTGCAATAAAGATGGATGTGTGATTGACTTAAATACAATAAAGGTGAAGAAAAAAGAAAGAAATGGATTTAAAAGATAATTATTGAACATAAAAAGGCAAATTAATAGAATAAATAATAATTTAGGAAGAGAAAGCCATCAATCATGGAATAGTATTGTCTATAGAGAGAGTGATGTGTAGAAAGGAATTTAAAGAGGGAATGAAAGAAAAGAGAAGTCTAATAAGGTTCTGGATAAGCTAGTAAAACCAATTTTTAAAAATCCTTTTAGAAAGCTTAAAATTTTAAACAAGTTTTATTCTTTTTTTATACAGGCAAGCTTCCTTCAGAATTAACATTATGTTAAGAATGATTATAGGGATGCTTTAGGGCTATATTTTTGTGTTAATGATAGACAATAGGGAGTCTAAGTTATTTTACACATCTTAAATACAATTGTCAGGTATAATCCTGTTATAATTTTTTAAAATAAGTTTATTTAAAAATTTTATAGAATTGTATTGTAAACTTGAAGAGTGGCCACCAGGTTCGAAACAAAAATATGAAGTGAAAATAAAAATTGTTTTTCTGAATAAGATATCCTCTATTTGCTAAAACAGAATCATCATCAGTGTAATAAGTCCTATTAGTATACAAAGTCCAACATAGACAATGATATAATAAAGTAAGGAGAGAGAGGCAAAAGAATTATCATGTGGATAGTCCCCATTTCTGATACACTATACGTAAACTAGTCCTTTGACATTTGGAGCAACAAGTACTTCTGGTCTTTCAAGATCGCATCCTCCTTTACTCTAGATCAGGGGTGGCCAACTTTTGTGTACATAAGATTTACTTTTTTTATCTTAAAAATGTGTTGCGATTGACTTGTTGTCGTAGGGATAGTCTAAGTAGCAAGGGGATGGTGTGAAATACATACTATGTTTAGATAGGTAAGAAAAGCCACAATTTAATTTAAAACATGAACAAAAGGTACATTGTAAACAGAAGAAAAATTAAAACTCAATGTTGTCACTTTCGGGACCACCACTTCACCCTTCCTCTTTCTACCGTGTCCCGACCACTCTCCCTGTCCCTCTTCCTACCTTTTTTTTTTGTTTTACGATCCTTTGTCTACATTTCTTATTCCCCTTTTACAATTGTATGCAAATGAATAGCACATACCGACAAAACCACATCTGAGGGAGGACGTGGTGGTCCAATATCACTACATTTGCGTTTGCACGTTATGTTCGGTTACAAGTGTAACACATTAATTCAAGACATCATGAGCGATCGATCAAAATTGGCTTTGTGATCGACCGGTTGATTGCGATTGACTTGTTAGCCACCCCTGCTCTAGATACATTGACGACAGTCTCAAATAATCTACTGTCCCAAAAACCAATAAATGAGCCTCTGTATTGTGAATCAAAGCAGTCATCTTGTGCAGCTCAAATTTAATGGTAAAAGCCTGAAGATGTCCATATGGAGGAAAATGTTTGATTTTTACCATTTCCGTTGTTTTTTAGTTTTGGGACGTAGTTTAAGATTAACTAGTTTTTAGCAGTTATTTGATGGCAATCTCATTGGTCCAGTGTTCCACATATTCAAACCTTACTTGATATCATCAGTAAGGTTTGAATATGTGGAACACTTGATAACCCATATGGATTAATGTTAAAAACTTGGAATAGAAGAGTGAAACAGGTACACTTCCTGGATCTCTTCTTCACTTTCAATAAAGGAATACTAACTTGTCAGTACTGATGTATATTAAGACCTCACACAATCCTCTTAATATATTGATATTATCATCACTTGAAATTAGTAACATAAAAAACTTAAATGACATTTATACAGATATAGTACAACAGTCTAATGTTTGTACTTATTATAGGAAGAGCCCTAGCATCAACTGCCTACTTTAGAATGACAAGGATCCACCTAATTGAACATTCTTCTAGAAGTTTATTCCATACCTCTACAAGACAACAGGATAGGACATTCTTATGAATACATTAGTGCCATTGTAGAGCTTTATAGATTAGAATAAAGACTGAATTCAAAAGCACTGAACTACAATTACTCTAGCAACCTTTGCATTGGATTGGGATGTCAACATGTTTTTTGACAAAGCTCGGCTGATCAGCACACACAACTAAAATATTTGGGAATGCTCAACAATATAAAAAGTGCTTAATAAAGGGACTGCAATCAAAAATAAAAAGGTAGCACTTTTGTCATATGCCTGGAGGACATTTCTTGAGCTTGATTAACTAACATACATTTTGTGTATACATTTGTTGTGTTTTATAATTTTTATCTTATTTTCTTTATTTTTAGCATCATTTTGTAATTTTTATTTCTTTATTATGATAAATTGTAAACCTATTTTTTTGTTTATCTTTGCGCATATGATATTTTATACAATGTAAACTGTTAATCTTTGAAACTATTCCATTCTCGTTCAAATCTGAGGATGACCTTTACAAAAGGTCAAAAACATTTGTTTAATTAATAAATTGATGTTACTTACTGGATTAAAGTGTCTGACTTAATTATACAGTGAACATCCAGTTACTGCAGTATTTTATTTAATTTTCAAAAAAGTCTATATATATATCTCAATTTTGTTTTTTAACTTTTCTTTATTAAATTACAATGTTTCATTCAAGATTCTAAAATTAAAATGTCTAATATTCTGTAACAATCAGCGCTTGATGTAGGCCCGAAAGAGGCTAAAAACATTGTTTATATTTAATTCAAATACATATTTTCTGGATGATTGTATGTATGGTTTGTAGTTTTAATTTAAAGAAATAAGTTGGACTGGAATAATAATATAGTAAGAGTAAAAACAAAAATTTATGAAACTAAATAAATTATAAAACTATGAATTCATTAGCCAGTAAATGACAGAAATCCTCAATCATTAGATCATCATATTAAGCCGTATTTTTAGTACAAAATATAAAAAAATTAAATTTTTTTTCTCTTTTGCTTTACTCCTAACTTATAATCATCAATATAGGCATTTTGAATATCTTTGCATAAGCTTATTTATTTAGAAATATTTTGTATTCATTTTCTTATAGTAATAAAAATTCAAATTTTGTAAGCTTTGAGTTTACTTACAGCTCTGTTTTCCAAATCAATTTTATTTCCAACAACTACAAATGGAAAATTCTCAGGATCTCTAGGTGAAGCCTGAATCAAGAATTCATCTCTCCAGGAATCTAATGACTTGAAGGTACTTGGTGCAGTGACATCAAATACTAATACACAGCAATCAGCTCCTCTATAAAATGCTACTCCTAAAGATTGAAATCGTTCCTGTCCTGCAGTATCCCAGATCTAGATGAAATTAACAAAAATATATTCAGTTTAAAAATTAGTTTGATAATGCATTACAAAATTGTGTGAAAACTTATTTCATAACTTAAATTATTAAATACATAGAGATAAAATAAATATTTAAAATGTTTTCTTTTGTTAAGTAATAACACATTTTCAAAAAATTTTAATACTTGAAAAACTAGAATTTCTCAACTTGTGTAAAAAATCTCAAATATATACTTGTTCAATAAATTGATGGATTTGTGGACAAATGTCATTCTTAAATTTTTATACATAATATAGTGAAAAAAGTTCAAAAGATGTTTCATTTCCAATTAGGATTTTTATTAATTTTTCAAAATTTATACAAAGTTTTGGAAATTATTTTATATATACAAGTTATATTGGTTTCATAGACTGACTTGACTGCAGAATATATGAGAAGTAGAGAGAAATTTTATAACTGTCTTTAATAGCATGAATTCTTAAATCTCTAATTTCATGTAGAGAAATTAACAAATAGCAATGTGGATCAAGGATCAAATTGCAGTTATCTTTCGTCCTAAGTTCTATTTTAAATTTTTGAACAACCTAATAGGATACGTATGATTATTATTTACTTAGTCTTGTAAAATAAATTAGGTAATAAGTTACATTAAAAAACCTTTTATTTAGAAAAATGCAAGATAAAAATTTAGACAATTTTAGGATGCTATTTTAGAAAAGGAATATGCAAAGTTTTGAATATTCAGGTATTACATGAGTATTTTAGCACTTTTAAATGAATATTTGCAGATATTCAGTTACAAAGTTAAATTTTTCTTCTGCAATAATGTCTAAATTATTTAGCTTTCTTTATATTTTTCATGTAATTATCAAGTTTGTAGATACTACAAATTTGGTTTATTCAATTATTTTCAACTTTTTATCAATAAACTGAAAGCTAAAAACAACATAACATAGCTTATATGTAATTTCTTGATTATATGCCATACTAAAAACGTGTCCATGTTCTGAAGGGAGATGAGAACTACTTTGTATAGTTAATGAATAATAATAAATATCTAATATTAAGGCAATAAGTTAAATTTATTAATAATAACCGAATCAAACTATTATAAAAATATTTCTTTTCAATTAAAATTTAATTGGAACAAAAACTGAACAAATATCATATATGACAATATTGGATCAATTTTTTAATTTGATACTTCAAATCTCCCTAGCTTATTAACATCTTGCATTAAAATAAAACACATAATAGCTAAGGCAAGAGACAAGGAAGGAAGAAAGTTTTTAAATCTCAAATTTGCAACTCTGATTTTAAACAACATAGATATAATTTATTTCATTTAAAACTTTTTTTAATGTCAATTTGTTTATTCATCCAAATTGCAAAATCAACTGCCATTAAATTTATGATAGTCATTAAAAAACAAATGATATTTAAAACACTTTTTGATTGAACATTTAATAAATTTTTAATTTGTGATGTGTGTATATACTATTTTATACCTTACTATTTTCAATAAAATGAGTTTCAAACTTTGATATAGGCATAAGTTACAAACTATGTGAATCTTACACTATTCAGACTTTCATAATAAAAAAAAATTATTTTATCATCAAAATCTGATAATCTTCTATAGTATAATATCTTTAGTACACACACACACACACACATATATATATATATATATACACACACACTTTTAAGCACAATCTCATGTGTTCATACATTCATATACACACAATTTTGAAAATTATATAGTGCAGGGAAAAAAATCATTGAATTTAACAAAAAACACACTAGTAAAATAGAACAAATGTATTAATGTTCAAATAGTAGTAAAGGAAAATATTTTAGCAACCAAAGCTTTTTTTATATACAACAATCCTCACTTAACATTGTTGCTGGAAATTGCAACAAAGCAAAATGACAACAAAATCAATTTTACCACAGGCTAATTAAACACAGTATAAAAAAGGTAATTTGATTACTATTATTTTTAATGGATTGTGTTTGCAACCTCCAGCATTTATTTTCCACCTCAGAGAATCAATTTACTACAGTAGAGCGTCGATTATCCGAAAGTCAATCATCTGAAAGAATTCCAGTTGGCAAATTTAAATTTTCGCCAGTGCTGTGGTGCTGCAATCTTTGGCTATGTCTTGGGCTACTCAAATATTTTACGTTTTTGATACTAAATTAACTTCTGAAGTATAATTTTTTATTGTTTTTATATTTTTCAATATATTTATTTTGTTTGTACAAAATAAAAAAATAATTTTTAACGATACAATAGTCTTCATTAGGCTTAACATTGACGAAAATTCAACGCGAAGCGACATGCAACGGAGAAAAATGTCAAGATGGGATAAATTAATATATTTTTTCGTACATAATCGGTTATCCAAAACATCGATCTTCCAAACAACCCCAGTCCCCAATTGATTCAAATAATCGACGCTCTACTGTATTTATAAAGAAAATTCAACAATGATAATTGTAAATGATTACAAATGTACTTTATCTTTTCTCAGTCATGTTAAGTGAAGAACTGCTGTAATTTTGTATGCTATCATATGATTAAATTATATGGATTATAATTACAACTTTGTCATCTGGAGTTTACACTGATATATAAGTAATCAATTACACCAAAGATATTCAGAAGTGTGAAATCAAACATTTAAATTCAAACATTAGCTTTGTAGACTTTACGGCTAATGTTTACTTTATGAAAAAGGTAATCCTCTTTAGTAACATTGGAAACATTTGATACTGTCATGCAATTATTTACTTAACATTAATAACCTTCACAAAAAAAATTGTAAATAATCAGACTCCATCTGTTTCACTGGGTTTTTACTCTCAAAATTTTTCTTAAATTATAATGCAATTTCTCTTCTTTGAATTTATTTTCATCTATTCTTTTTAGTGACTCATGAATCAAAACAACTGTTTTGCACAAAATGTGATGAGTGTTCTAAAAATTATGAAGCTACAAAAACAGACTGAGGAAATAGGGTTAGGGACAGAACACTCAAACCTTATAGTCCTTCAATTCATTTTATATAGTCCTTCAATCATCACAATATTCACTGCTATGGAACCTGAAGCAAATTTGTTGCTAGAGAAGTCCAAGTTGATAAAAATGGACCAATTCTGATCTGTTTTTTTTTCATTATGCATTTTACATTATGCTCCTAATAGGAGCATTAACTTATCTTGTATACATACTATAATGCAAGATCTTATTTTATTATCATTCTCCTACTTCATGATCTTTCTTTGCTTATCACTAATTACTCTAAATTTTATTCCCAAAAACATACATTTGAATACATTCTGTGTTAGCTAATTCTAAATTTTTATCATCAAATGACTCATACAAAATGGCTAAGATATTTGGGTTAAATCTAACGTTTTTGAATACTCTAACTACAGCTAGAAAACTGTGTGTCAATGTGTGGCTGGAGTGAAAACCAGAAATGAATGTAGACATGTCTAATTTCTTGAAATGCCATATCCTCCAGATTGTCTTATTGCTACAATCAAAAATGACTGTGTATGCACCAAAAAATATCAGTCTCAATCTAAAATATATGCTGGCAAATATGGAAAAATTTATTGTTTTTCTTTTATGCCTGTCATAAGAGACTAAGTTATTTTGTACAAATTCAAAAATATCTGATTGTTCAAGAGTGTTATTTTATTATAAAAATTTGTAAGATTTTTATAATTACTGATACAATTTTATCAGTTATAGTAAAGTTATGATGAATTTTATCACATCTATATATTTTTTAATTCTCATAAGTATTTAAAAAAGAAGTCATTGAAACACACAGTATCTACATATATAATCAAGATGGTTTGATAATAATAATAAGCAAGCACAAAGCCCAAACGGTTAGGAGTTGAAGGTTGAAATTTGGCACACAGTTAAGGTATGTCATGAGAACGTACACTAAAAAGGGATTTTTCGAAATTTTCCCCCTTGGGGAGAGGGACAGGATTAAGGCTTCCCATGAAGAACTCTGCTTCTAATATACTATTTTAGATGCAATTTTTTGCATTTTTGATTGCGTTTTAATAGGGTACATCNAAGGTATGTCATGAGAACGTACACTAAAAAGGGATTTTTCGAAATTTTCCCCCTTGGGGAGAGGGACAGGATTAAGGCTTCCCATGAAGAACTCTGCTTCTAATATACTATTTTAGATGCAATTTTTTGCATTTTTGATTGCGTTTTAATAGGGTACATCATGAGAATGTACACTAAGAAGGGATTTTTCAAAATTCCCCCCCATGGAGGAAGTGTTAAGAGAAAGCAAAGTGCAAGATTTACAGGCACAGATGCAGTTTTTTGCATTTTGCAGGAAATCAAACATATTTTTAGACCCATCTAAAAATTTTCTAATTAGTCTGGAAACAGGGGAACCTAATTCTTGCATTATGTGAAAACAGGTAAGATTGGCTATATGTAATAATCTTAATCTTTGCTATTGTTACTTTTTGCCTGAGCAACTGTATTAAAGTATTAAACAAACAGCAAAAGTATTAAATACTAGCAATCTGCTAGTATTTAATACTTTTGCTGAAATTGAATTTAAAAAATTAACAGAAGTGCTAAAACAATTGTGTTTAAGGATATCAAATATTAAAACATTACCACAAATGAACTTTAGTTTCTGAAAATAAATCAATGAAAAGTTCATTAACATTACAAAAATAAATTTTAGTGCATAACACACTTTTTTTTTATTTTAGGAGAGAGAAAACCATGACTCGGAAGTGAGATATTCGAAATATTCTCTAAAGAATATTTTGAACAGTTTAATATTTTCCAAGATAGTCCTTCTGGAAGCAAAACGATAATTGGAAATATAAACAAATTCTAAGTTAAATACATTCCATTTTAAATAAAAATTTACCTGCATTGTAACTAACCGATCATCTACCATCACTTCCTTTGTAAGAAAATCTGCTCCAATAGTTGCTTTATATTGATTACTAAATTTCTTGTTCACATATTGATTCATTAGAGAGGTCTTTCCGACACTAAAAAGATAATACTTAATTAAAATTTGATATGAGATTATTGAATGCAAAAGTTCTTTACTAATAGTCAAAATTCAATATTTTACATAATTATTTAAATGTATATAAAATCAAAGTATTAAAATTTTTTTCATTAATCAATTTAAGATATAGCTAGCTATATCATATATATACAGAACACAGAATAATCATAAAACTCTTAACTAGTTACTCTAAGAGTTAGATTTGGATATATTATAGCTAGATAATCTGAAAATTATATTTTGTTTCTTAATTTAATTAAACAACAGAGACAATTATACAATTGAGTATCAAGATTTCTGATAAGTAGCATGATCAGCAATTTTACAGCTTGCACACTACCTGTGAAAATGAAAAACTATTAAAAATTAAGTTTTATAGTGATATTGTAACATTTTTTGTTTTTTTTTAATAGTAGTTAAGTAATTGGTTTGTAGAAATATGTAAATAGTCAAAAATACAAGAAAGTGTATTAATAACAATTTAAAGCTTAACAGATAAAGTTATCAATCACAAAAATATAAAACCGCTCAAAAAATTGGTCTNCAAAACACATTTCAGACAATCCCTGAAATCTGTATATTCTATAAATCAGTTGACTACATGCTATTCTCCTTGAATTTAGCTTTCAAACTATGATATATACATACATACATACATACATACATATTAATTTAATGAGACTGTGCATAATACCTATATCTAAGCCGAATTACTTAGCATTTAATTATTAATAGCGGCAGTAATATAACCTGATCTTGAACTGGAAATAATTATTTTCAGAAATAAAGAGTAATAAACCACCCTGCCTTCCATCTTGAACCACCTTCCACTGGCCAACTTATTAATTAATTAGATGGGCTCCTACCTCCTTCCTATTTGGTTACCTCTTCCTCCGTTATGTCAAAGACCCATATATCATCTGTCCTAGGCCACATTTCACAACCTGATCTCATCTGACTATTACAGTCAACCTCCCTATAACACTGTTGATAATTCTGTTTTATA